GAATCCCATGGAAAAACAAGGCCAGAGCATCCATCAGCCAGTCCTCAGCACCCATCAAAGCCCTAATGGCATCACAGCTCCACAGTCCCTGGGACAGAGGGATCATATTTTCCTTTTGCTGATGATCTGCCATTTATTAAGGAGGCAGCAGTGGCAGTTGCCTCAGCCTCTCCCTTCCATCACCCAGAGCCTCCATCCCAGCGGATAAATCCCAGCCACGCGCTCCAGGGTGCTGAGAGAGCTCCGTGGTGATGAATTACAGCCCACGGATGTGATGGAAAAGGTCTCAGTGCTCACCTGGCTGGTGCTGGAGACGCCAGGGATAAATCTTTGCTGTGACACAAATGGGATGTTTCTCCTTGGTTGGGCTCTCAGGGTCACTGGGCGCGAGGAGAACGCGAAACAAACAGATTGGAGGTGGAGGAAGAGGAGGGAGGGAAAAACACTGGAATGCTGAAGAGGAGGGAGGAGGGGAAAGGAACATTCAGGAGCAGGAGCCCCAGAGTGCAGAAATAGCAGCGCAATAAATCATTTTCCAAGGGAGTTTTAGGAAAATCATGGGCACAGTGTGAGCATGCTGAGCACCAGGAGGAACCTGTGGAGCTGGCAAAGCCTCCTGACTAGCAACAGCCTGTGGCTTTATAAAAGCTGCTTGTTGTGGGGCTTGGAAGCTTAACGGCATCAGCTGCTGTTGCAATTAAAGTGGCTTAATTAAGTGGTTTTCTCAACTGCTGCTGCATGGGAAGAGGAAGATCATCCTCAGCACCACCAGGCTGGGCATAGCCTTGCCAAGGCTCAGCTGGAGACACCCAAGGGGCTGTGGCCAAGCCCAAGGTACCCCCAGTGGGTACCACCCCATGGGGATCACCCTAAAACCACCACTCAGAATGTGTCCCCATCATTCAGGACTGAGGGAGCTCAGCAAAAGGCTGTGCCACCCACCCTGACTACCCTCAGCCCAGCCCAGAGCCACGACTAGGAACCCAAACACAGCCACAACACACCCTGGGCTAAAGGAAGGCTGGAACGAAGGGATCACTCCAGGGGAAACTGTCTCCTCAACCCCACATTGCCTCCTCCACACAGCCAAGAAAGGGGAGAGGAAGAGGAGGGTTTGCAGCCACTGTGCTGCTCCAGCCTATCCAACACTCATCTGGGAGCAGCTGGTGGTGGAGGAGGTCAGTCATTCCCATCACCTCAGCACTCCAATGCCAAACTGGGAAAGTGGAGGTTATTACTCCAAATTAACTCCCAGTGGGACCTTCTCACTCCCTGACAGGAGATTGGAGCCAACTGGGGGGGGTCAGTCTCTTCTCACAGCTAACAACTGACAGGACAAGAGGAAACAGCCTCAAGTTGCACCAGGGGAGGTTTAGATGGAATATTTGGGAAAATTCCTGCATGGAAAGAGTTGTCCAGCCCTGGCACAGCTACCCAGGGCAGTGGTGGTGTCACCATCCCAGGAGGGATTTAAAAGCTGTGTAGATTTGCCACTTGGGGACATAGTTTAGTGGTAACCTTGGCAGTGCTGGGGGAATGGTTGGATTTGATGGTCTTAGAGGGCTTTTCCCATCTCAGTGACTTTCTGATCCCAAGTGCTGCAGGGAGCAAGGCAGAACCCCAAGAAGCCACTGCTGCATCCTCACTCTGTGCTCTGGTTCCTTTCGGCAGGTGAAACCCAACGCGGCAGAGCAGAGAGCACAGCAGCTCAGCTCCTCCATCCCTGCACACACGTACAACCTCCTGAAGTTTCCCTAGAAGCTTTTCCAAGGATATTTCCAGGAAATCAGCATTAAAACACCAGCTCCTGGCAGCAGGAGCCTCCAGCCCCGGCAGCAGCTCCGCTGGAGTGGCAGTGCTCAGCCAGTGTGCAGGAGGTGGGCAAAGCCCTGGAATAACTGGGTGCCCGGGCAGGGGGTGGCAGCAGCAGGAGAGGTCCTGTTGCTGCAGAATCCCAGGGGAAAACTGCAGGAATGGAGGGGCGGAGGAGACAGAGGGCTCGGCACGGGAGGGACAGCGGCCGGTGCTTACCCTCTGCATCCAGCTCGGCTGGGGGCACAGCGTCTGCCTCGCCTTGGGGGCACAAACAGAGCGACAAGGGGTGAAGCTGCAGCCCACGCACCCACCAACACCAGCCTGGCACGTCCTGCCGCTCCTTCCCCAGGTTTCCTTTTATTTTCGCAATTTTTTTAGGCTTCTCCATCACTGCGTTCATACCCAGGCACTGCCCAAACCTCCCCCAGCTGAGAGCCCTGATCCCCACCCTGCACGGCTTTGCTCAAGGATGTCCCTGCAATCCCATCCATCCTGATTTGGACAGGCTGGGAGAAAGCCTCCACAGGCAAGGAAGGCAGTGGCATCAGTTTCGTTTAGCACACAAGCAGCAGCCACACAACTGCTCTGGATGCTTTTTCCTGCAGTTTGCCCTTGCCAGTGATGAAGAGGAGACCCAACACCTCGTTGGCAGCAGCCCTGGCAATGCTGGGGAATTCAGCACCCACTGTCACCTACCTCGAGGGGATGCACGGGAGGAAAGTTTGGGGTCTGGGGCAGGAGGCTCCGACGGGATGGGCTCACTCGGGGCTTGGGGTCCCTTGTTCTTGCTGACTGGCATCTGCTGGGGCAGCATTTGCTTGGGCAAACCCTTGAAGAACCAGGCACCAGAGCGTTTCCACACCTGGGGGAGCAGGTAGAGGGGTGACACCCGTGTCTTGGGGGGATGCTGGAGGCTGAATCCCCCTGTGTCACTGGCAGAGGATGTGCAATCCCACGACCCACCCTGCAGCCCATCCTGCTAATTCATTAATGCTTTGGCTCACACTGCAGGCAGCAGGGAGCCAAGCTCAGAGAATCAGAGTTTTAGGGGTTGGGATGGAGCTCAGAGACCACCCAGCCCCAGCCCCTGTCCTGGGCAGGGACACCTCCCACCAGAGCAGGTTGCTCAAGGCTTTATCCAACCTGTTCCATCTCTG